AAGGCCATTGCACCCTGAGCCCCGCTCACATATGGGTGTATCGTGAACGTGCATCAAGAGCAAAAAGTGAAATCAAAGTGCGTCACAAAACGTGCACCAAATACGGAATGTGCTTGCAGCGCCATTACTAGTAATGCACCCCAAACGCAGGCGAGCAAACGAGAACGCACACATACACGTGGGGAAAAACATGCACCACATGTCACAAAATGTGCTTACTGCGCGGCTTTTCCCGCGTTCATTGTAATCTAATGGACATGATCCCCAAACGCAGGAAACAAAGATGCGGAAATGCATGTCCCGTTATGCGCATTTCTGATACGCCCGTATGTGATTGGGGGCTTATAGTGTATTTAAGCTTGTTTTTAGATGTGCTGGATTTTTGTCTTCTTTATTTTCACCTGATGATCCTGCCAGTAACACAATTGCTGTCGTAGGGTGACAACTAGGGATGCACCCATACCGCTTTTTCTGTATCGAGTACAGATATATTTTTTTCCGGTACTCTTCAATACTGAATACCGATACCGGAGGTTCCATTAGGGAGCCATGCGGCGTGTAATGACTTCATTCAGGAAGCCCGCGCAGCGAGTCATTACCAGACCCCGTCTCCCTGATTGGCCAGAAAGCTGGCTCCATGCTTCCTTGTCACCTGGTGATGAGGGAGCATGGAGCCGGCTTCCCAGCCAATCAGGAAGCCGGGTGGCATGTAATGACTCTCCCTCCGGCTTTCTGATTGGTCGGAAAGCTGACACCATGCTTCCTCGTCACCTGGTGATGAGGGAGCATGGAGCCGGCTTCCCAGCCAATCAGGAAGTCGGGTGGCGTGTAATGACTCGCGGCCTAGCTTACTCATACAGGAAGTTCAGAGTACCCGCCCAAATGCTTGGTATCGGTGCATCCCTAGTGACAACACTCGCTCACTGTACTATATCACTCCCTGACTGTACTGTATTTATGGAGGAGCAGCTGTGTCACCCTAGGCTGCTTTCAGGTTTGAGACTACACACACACCTCTCCCCCTCCTACTCTCTGTTGCATAGATGGCTGTTGCTTTGTAGTCCACAGAAGATAGCTGGGAACACTGATAAGATCACTTGATATTTCGGTTCAGTGCACAGGGAGTTACAGGGACACTGGATTTCTGGCTGATCAACAATATTGTGCACTCATTAAAAAAACATGCTTGTCAGCCCCCTTGTGGTACCAATAAAGTGACAACTGTTTATGAGATATATGAAAATAAATTGAATAAAACAAAAGGGTACGCCCCCCCCCACACACATATATGAATGCAAACGCACATGTATGATGCACACAGGTACATAAACAATGACCGTGTAACACACATTAGACATTACCGTCGAGGCCAGGAGTGGGCAAACTCTGGCCCTCCAGTTGTGGTCAAACTCCAAATCCCATCATGCATCTGTCTTGTGGAGTCATGTCTGTGGTTGTGAGAGTCTTGCAATGCCTCATGGGATTTGTAGTTCTGCAACAGGTGCAGGGCCGGAGTTTGCCCACCTCCTGGTCTAGGTAGTAGTGAGGGGAATCATTTTAGGTCCATTATTTACAGTTAACTGTAAATGTGATGAGCTGTAGAGGTGAAGTCCCCGTTCACACCTCCCCATTCCGGGCATGCGTGTTCCATTCGCGCATGTCCGTGTGCATTTTCTCCTGCGTTTGCCATGCGTCGCCCATTGATTTCAATAGGTGCCACACACGCAACAGGAAAGTAGCTCATTTATCAGACTCTGCTACAGGCATACCGTGTTTCTTCACCATGTGTTTGCATGGGAAAAAATGTGCGTCTTCCCAGATGTGTTTGGGGTGACTGACAAGTAATGGCATCGCAAGCATGCTGCATGTTTTTACATGCGTCCTGTGAACTCACGTCAACGCGCTCTGTGAATTCAGGGAGTCAAATCCATTCATGGAATCACGTCTATTCACGGAAAAGGAAGCTGTGAATGGGGACTTAAAATGTCACCTTTGGAGAATTCTGGCTGTCATGGTTTGTTGTAGGGATGCACCGAGTACCGATATTTTACTTTCCGTACTCACCGATACCAGAAGGTCCCATTAAAGGAGAACTATGGGGTCAGGGCTTTTCTCCATAGTTCTCCTAAGGGTAAAGGGAGGACACAAACTAGCGTCCTCCAGTCACCCTAAGCTCAGTATACCGCGAGCTACAGCTTGCGGTATACTGAGACGCCGCAGCCGGAACGGATCCCGACAATTCTGTCTGGATCCACCCAGCTGCATGAGGGACAGCTAGCTCTGCCTATCTAGAGGCAGAGCTAGCTGTACCCGCCCCATCCGTTCCGCCAGTCAGCGCTGGAGGATCGGAGCGGGGAGAGGGGAATCCTGCCCCTCCCCTGTCACGGCTCTCTGCCACCACAGGATCGAGAAGTGAGCGAGCTCCGGTATGTGTTCGCTCACTTCCCGACCTACTGAGCCGACCTGTGACAGTCTCATTGTCACAGGTCAGCTCAGATTATGAGGCTGAGTGAAAATCACTCACCTCATAATTCTCCATTAAGGAAGCCGGGTGGCGTGTAATGACTGGTCGCCCAGCTTCCTGATTAGCCAAGCAACTCCATGCTCCCTCATCACCAGGTGGCGATGGCCAATCAGGAATCTTGCCAATCAGGTCATTATCTGCCCCCGGCTTCCTGATTGGCCAGCTTTCCGAACCAACCAGGAAGCCTGGCGGCAAGTCATTACACGCTGCCCGGCTCCATGCCAAGCATTTGACGAGGGAGCATGGAGCCGGCTTCCCAGCCAATCAGGAAGCCAGGCAGCGTGTAATGACTTCCGGTATCGTGATGAGCTCCGCCTCACCTTTTATAATGTACAGGAAATATGGAGATTGTTTTGTGTTTCTGTCCAATCAGATGAATTGAATGCATTTTTTATTGAAAATATAAATTTGATAAGCAGTTGCTGTAACATTGTGTGAACTGCCATGTGTTTATTTTATGGATCCTCTGCTGTCAGAAAATATATTCAGGGGAATCCATCAGAACTGAAACAGACAGAATCTGGAGCAGTCATCCATGGCAACCAATCAGCTTCTCTCTTTCATTTTCAAACCTTAACTAAACAAACTGAAGAGAGAAGCTGATTGGTTACTGTGTGCAGCTGCTCCAGATTCTGTGGGGTTTTAATCAAAATTGCAGCAGAATCTGGAGCGGTTGCCCATAGTAACCAATTGGCTTTCTCTTCAGTTGCTTCAGTTAAGCTTTGAAAATGAAAGAGAGAAGCTGATTCTGCTCAAGATTCTGCTCCAATTTTTGTCTACTTGTCACTGGGGTGAATTGTTTGATAAATTCTCCCCAGTGTGTTATCATGTTAAAAAAAAGTGTAATAAAAAAAAAATGTGTGATGAAAAAAGTGTAATAAAGAAAGAAATAAAAGAAATAAGTGTGTGATAAAAATAAATAAGTCTCTGGCACGGAAAGGGTTAATACCTTTACAGACAAATGTATGGGGGGGTTTTATTAGTTTTTATGACCGTATGGTGCGAATTTATCCAAACTGGAGCAGTTAGGAGCAACAAGTTCAGTTAAGATTTTAAAAGGAAAGATAAAAGCTGATTGGTTGCCATGGGCAACTGCTCCAGATTCTGAGGGGAAATAATCAACACTGGAGCAGAGAGAATCTGGAGCAGTTGTCTGTGGCAACCAATCAGCTTCTCTCTTTCATTTGCAAAGCTTAACTGAAGTAAGAAGCTGATTAGTTACTATAAGCAACTGCTCCATATTTGATAAATAGAGCAGATAGAATCTGGAGCAGTTACCCATGGTAACCAATCGGCTTCTCTCTTGAGTTTGTTCAGCTAATCCCCATTCACACCGTGGTGTACCGTGAACATGCATCAAACAAGCACAAAAGTGTGCGCCTCGAAGTGCGTGCATGAAACGCTCACCAAACGTGGAACACGCTTGCAGTGCCATTACCGTACTAGTTAATGGCACCCCAAACGCAGCTGAGCAAACACTGTGCTTTCCTGCGCGGGAATGCATGGCAAACAAAAACATGGGGCGCATGTCGCAAAATTTGCTACATACACTACTTTCCCGTATTTTGGGTGCATCCGGGGACCCACTGAAATCAATGGGGATGTGCGCCAAATGCAGAAAACAAATGGTCATGAACACACGAGAACGCGCAGCACTGCGATGTGTGTTCCCATGATGCTATGGTGTGATTTGGGGCTTAAGATTTAAAAATGAAAGAGAGAAGCTGCTTTCTTCAGTTTGGTCGTTAAAGCGTTGAAAATGAAAGAGAGAAGCTGATTGGTTGCCATGCACAGCGGTTCCAGAGTCTGAGGAGTTTTAATCAAAACTGGAGCAGAATCTCGAGCAGTTGTCCATGGCAACCAATCGGCTTCTCTGTTTCATTTTCAAAGCTTAACTGAACCAACTGAAGAGAAAGCCGATTGGTTACTATGGGCAACTGCTCCAGATTCTGCTCCAATTTTGATTAAAAATCCCTCAGAATCTGGAGAAGCTGTCCATGGCAACCAATCAGCTTCTCTTTTTCTTTTTCAAAGCTTAACTGACCAGACTGAAATGAGAAGCCGTTTGGTTGCCATGGACAACTGCTTCAGATTCTGCTCCAGCTTTGATTAATTCCCCTCCGAATCTGGAGCCACTGTGCAATGCAACCAATCAGCTTCTCTCTTCAGTTTAGCTTGTTCATGGCAACCAATCAGCTTCTCTCTTTCATGTTTAAAGCTTAACTGACCAAACTGAAGAGATACGCCAATTGGTTACTATGGGCAACTGCTCCAGATTCTGAGTTGTGATAAATTTGGTGTTTGTGGCCTAACCATGGGCTTTTCCTTTGGGTTGAGGTTGCCGTAGTGTTAGCAATGAAGGGCTGACCCTAATAGGGAGAGAGGGGAGGAAGATTCCTCGCTGACAGTGAGAGGGGGATGTAACATTCCTGTATAGGAGAAAAAAAAGGTTGCGAGGATTGAAAGAAAGCAGCAGAATGCAGGTCAGGGAGATGAAGGAGCACAGGGCGGCTTGGGAGGAAGGAGAGAGATGTGTGGACACGAGGTGTAGGAGCAGGTGTGACTGACATATACAGGTGTGAAATAGGAAGGAAGTCAGCGAGTTCTGCTAGAAGATAACATTACAGAGTATTCCCAGACAGGGAGACCAGGAAAGGGGACAGGCACACTGACGGCTCGGATCATTAGGGCAGAGAGGCGGGGTATAGAATATAGGCAGGTACAGGTAGGAGCACTGAGGTAATGGCAGGGTGGGGCGTAGAAGCAGGCTAAGTGAGCAGAAGACGAGCAGGTGAACGTGGCATTGGGGACAGCTACCTGCACAGTGTGGGAGATTAAGCTTCCACCCTCAAGGCTTGAAAAATGCAAGACAGTCACTTCCTTATGTCGGCCCTGCAGCCAAACCTGGACATCACCTCGCTGGCGCTTCCTACCGACTTGCAACTGGACCGCAAGCTGCGCGAAGAGAACCAAGAGCTGCGCAATGCCCGCGTGCAGGAACAGGTCCGGGCCAGGATGATGCAAAAGGGATCGACTTCATCAAGGAGCAACTCCAACTATGGAGGTAAGAGACATCCAACTTATCTCATTGATTGTGATTTTGTCTTTGACGCTTCTTGACGGGTCATCTAGGACCTCCAAAAACATTACATTTGTACCGGGCTGTTATTCCAGGAGCACCGGCATAGAGAGGGTTAAGGAAGTGTGGCTGTTGTACTTGTTAGACTTGATAACCTATAGTTAGGATCACACGCCCTCCCCTTCATGCTCTAAAAACAGTGGTCATTAGCCCGTCTGTACAAGACAAGGTCAACCCATTCATGGGTTTGCTTCATTGATCATATCTAGTCTCCAGGCCAATTATTCTATGTTCCTGGTTTCCTTAACGGTTCTTTGGATTGTCACAGGACAAACGTTATTCACCGTTCTTCAGACAATCCTTCTTTTTTTTTTTTTCTACCGGCATTTACTGATCTACTTGGAGGGAAATCAGAGCTTCTGGCCAGAGCAGCCAATTGGGGACACTGAGAAAGCTTCTGGCCAATTGGGGACACTGAGAAAGCTTCTGGCCAATTGGGGACACTGAGAAAGCTTCTGGCCAATTGGGGACACTGAGAAAGCTTCTGGCCAATTGGGGACACTGAGAAAGCTTCTGGCCAATTGGGGACACCGAGAAAGCTTCTGGCCAATTGGGGACACCGAGAAAGCTTCTGGCCAATTGGGGACACTGAGAAAGCTTCTGGCCAATTGGGAACACCGAGAAAGCTTCTGGCCAATTGGGGACACCGAGAAAGCTTCTGGCCAATTGGGGACACTGAGAAAGCTCCTGGCCAATTGGGGACACTGAGAAAGCTTCTGGCCACAGCAGCCAATTGGGGACACTGAGAAAGCTACTGGCCAATTGGGGACACTGAGAAAGCTTCTGGCCAATTGGGGACACTGAGACAATTCCTGGCCACCCCAACTGATTGGGGCCACTGAGAAAACTTTAGTCTAGTTGCTATGGGTAACAGCTCCACTTTCTCAGATCCAAATTTCATAAAGAAGCTTCCAGAGTTCGGCGGGTCCATGTTTGCATTACTCACAGGGCTTTGCACACCTTGAACATCAATCAGTTGATTCATCCGGTAACATATAACATGACTACTTATCCTGTCCTGATTCATCCTGTAATTGCGTATCATTTGCAGACAAATTCTCATAGTTCCCAATAAAAACAAGAACCTGGGATTTTCTCCATTTGTCACCTTAACCCAGCCCCTATTCTTCAGCTACCAGAACTTTTTATTGCATTCCTTTTCACTTTGGTGTTTTAGGACTGGCCTTGTTAAAGCCTCTTAACATGGTAATTAAGTGCTCTCCCGTTAAGTGCTTTGAAAGGCGTTTAGAGTACACTAATTTTTACATTGTCATTGCTAATATAAAATGTTTTATAAGGACTTCTTGTGAAATATGAAATAATTATGGATACGACAGCACATAGTAACGTACCTGTCATGAAGATAATGCTGCCCCACCCTGGAACAGACTTGAACATCTCTGGACCCCCGAGGGTGCTGTCATTCAAACATTCCTCTTGTCATTTCTTTCACCCCACAGTCCCCATCTGGCGTTGTGTACTCACATATGGCTGCTACTGAACACGTTACCTGGTGTCTTCATATAACTGAGCTGTTGTTTATTTTCAAAAAGATATACTTTCTTTCCCTATTTATCCGATCGGGTCCAACTGTCCAGTTTTTGTTTTTTTAGGCGGACCCGATCGGATACCCAATGCTAGTCTATGGGCATCTGGGTCTAAACAAACTGCAAGATGGAGGGGAAAAAAACTGGGCAGACAAGGATGTCCCAGCGGTAACATCCAATCTGTACCATCTCGATCAGAAGGAGAACCATGCACAGATCCCCTCCTGATCACCTCGTGTGAAAGTAGCCTTAGTTATGTTAAGATTAGAGTAGAGAAGGGGTTTTTTTTTTTGGAGGGGGGGAGGGGTTTCTTTTAGTTTTTCTTTTTTTGCATTGCCAAATTTCCTTTCCTGTTCCAGGAAGTAAGTGGAAATCTCTCAATGTGAAGGGAATCTAGTTGGTTGTCTCTGGACAACTGTCCCCATTGGCAAATTCCCCCCTTACCTCTTGTTCTGGGGACAGCTCATACCGGTGGTTGCGCTACAACACACAGACGCCGGTGTGCATTAGCAGTCACAGCGCCAATGCACCAATCCTGTCGCATCACACTGTTTACCATTTCTCTCTCTTTTAAAAAAAAACTTTATTACAATGTCAAGAGTGACAATTTTCTTAAGTTCTCTGGGCACAGCGTGGTGAGATGCAGTTGTACCACATCGTGGCCTGTTGCATTAAAAAACAGAATTTATTTTTTCATCGAACACCACCGCAACACGCAGGGGGTATTTCCCCAGTGGGGACAAAAACAGATATAAACATCTGTTAAAGGGTCCAACACTTCCCCACTCTATCCAAAACGAAAATAAAAAAAATTAAGCATGCTACGTGCTTCCGATTTTACCACCTGGGCACTACCCTCGATATTTCACAATAAATCAAGTTTATTTTCAATTTTTGCAACTCCATTGGGAAGATTTTCCTCTATCTTGCTATTCCTGTGTCACAAGACAAGAAATGTAGGGAACGGGTATCACCAGGACAAGAAGACCTCAACGATAGTTATTATTGTTTTGCTGTTTCTGCTCCACTGGAGATATTCCCCATTACTTCCTCTCCTCCTGACACCAGAACAGGAAGTGAGGGGAAAATAAGATCCGTTACTGATACAAGGAGGACTCTCCATCAAAAACAAACATTTTGGCTAGAAATGGGCTTTAAAACATTTTATTTTTGAGGCCCTTTGGCGCTTGCTGTGGGGCCCCAAGAACCCAGCAGTCAGTAGTGAGAGCAGTTTTGGCACCCTATATCTATAATTGCTAGGAGCAAGTTACATGCAGTGTTTTTAATTGGCTGTTTTTTCCAGTGCAGTCCCAATGCAAGACCAAGCAATTTGTATTGTCATGGATGGACGCCATTCACACCACCACGGTGGTGCGCTGAAGAAAAAGTATGGCATGCAGTACTTGCATAATGCTGTGCCCATAGAACTTAATAAAATGTCACTTCATGGTTCTAAAAATAAATAAAAAATAATACACATAGAGCAACGTGCCAAGATCAGTGCATCAGCACTGTCCAGGGTACCACACACCAGCTGCTATGCAATGTAGCACAGTGCCTGGTGTGAATGGACCCTTAATGGATATTTTACTACATGTATACTGCAGGTCTAGAGCCCCTTATTGGATATTTACTACATCTATACTGCGGGTCTAGAGCCCTTTATTGGATGTTTACTACATGTATGCTGCGGGTCTAGAGCCCTTTTATTGGACGTTTACTACATGTATACTGCGGGTCTAGAGCCCTCTATTGAATGTTTACTACATCTATATTGCAGGTCTAGAGCCCTTAATAGATATTTACTACACTGAGTTTGTATGCACTGCCAACACTTGGAAAGGTCCCCTCCGGTCGCTCTGGTTTCATCCCACAATCCAAACATTTTCAGAAGAGATTATTTGGCTCCCAACCAAACTGGCCTTGAGTTGATATGACTGTCGTAGCGATATTGGACAGTTTGTTCCTCTGGTGCAGATAGTAATGTGAATGGTCTAGGAAGCATTGTGTAATAAGTTCAAGCTTTATAAATGTGGTAAATACTGTACATAAATAAGCTCGGTGATATGGTCTGCTCCAGATCTACCAGGTAATGTATCTGCAGATGAGGTGCACTGCTCACTGTATTAGTAGACCTAGTTTATGGACAGGAGAATTAGTGCGAGAGATATTTGCTTAGGATCACGTGATTCAAGAATCTAACAACCAGCGTGTAAAGTTCATAGTCTCAAGTTCTTTATAATAATAATCTCTCTGGCATGACACAGGATGAGCTTATTGTGATGTTTGTACGAGTAGAATATGATTGCTGCCTGCCAGCTGTCAGAAATCTTTGTACATTCTGAGAACTGATGCTACCTGTAGTTGGCATTAAATAGTTTTAAGTAAACTGAAAGTGGAACTCCATCCAGAACTTTTGTTTTAGTTTCAGATTTATTCGGTAAACATCAGAGCCACCTGTCAATGTGGCTCTTATTGCTGTTTGTGTCTCCAGTGGAGAGATTCTAATTCACTTCATATCTTAGAAATTAAAAGGAAGTGAGAAGAAATTCCATCTTTGACTTTTACCAACATAAAAGATGTCCCCATTTTAAAATTTCCACTCAACTTTTGATCCGATCACAACTGTAACATTTTGGAATCCTCCTCACTTTCTATCTCAGTGATAATGGTCACTTGGACAAATAGTGAATAGAATATCTCCTAAAGAGAGATGGAAAGCAATCAAAACTTTTAAATGAGTGCTGAACCCTGGTGTACAAGAGTATTTTAGATGGTGTGACGACTCTCAAGCACACAATGAACCTTACTCAGCAATCGGAGTAAGTTTAGAGAAGAGCATGCCCAAGATATTCCTGACCGTTCAGATGCAGTTTGTTCATCAAAATAGTCAATGAAAATCTCCAACTTATTTTTGGGGTTTCAGGTGAAGGAATTAAACTTTTGACAATGTTGTGTATATGAGCTACCTGTGAGGAAATATAGCCATGCCCGTATAGAAGGAACGCATCAGTTCGGGTTTTTCTACCTCCCGTTTTTTAAGATGATGATGGACCAATGTTGCTGAAAAGTCAGCAATCTCAAATTTTACCACTGGGTCACGTTAGCTCACATTATATAACTTTTCCGTGAAGTTATATACGCCTTGGCCATATCTGTCTGTCCTTTTGGACTCTCTTCTTGTATTTGTGACTTGCATTTGGCTATATCTGTAGCCACCCTGTAATGTAAACCTGTGCTTGCAAAAAAAAAAAAGAAACCTCTGTGGGTATAGCAAGCACCATCTGTAACCTGCAGATTGCTCGTACCTGGAAAGTCCCAGCTTCTAGCAGTAGGCAGCTTCTAGGAGACACTGCATTCCACAATGAAGTGGAGGTG